TTTTGAGTTCATATTATTACGGAAGGGTAGAGAAGGATGTTGATGTTAACACATCCCTCCATCACTGTGCAGCTTCCCTGATCACCCAGGCCTCCCAAATCGAAAAAGCATCCAGGCAGGATTTCTATCATGACATCTTCTCCTGGGATTTAATCGAAACATGGGAAGTCTGCATAACTGTTGGAGAGATTATTGCAAAATGAAAAACAGAATATTTACTCAAACCTTTTGACCACTCCGTAACTAAAGTAAGTGCCAGAAGCCAGCATCCTACCCATGAAAATTTCACCCATGTTTCTCCTGAGGAAGGGGGAGGGAATATAAGCACTGTATTTCCTAACCTGGTCTATCTCAAAATGCTGGCATCAACTTGAAAGTCTTTGTAGCTAAAGACTTTCTTTACATTGAGAGAAAGGACCGGAGACTTCTCTTGAAATGCATGGTTGTCAACAGAACCGGACAACAGAAATGAAGAAGTGGCAAGGGAGCCAATGAATGTGTTGATTGTGCTATTCTTCTAAGGAGGACATATGGAAGTCTGGTCAGGCCTACAGAAATACCTTAATCATTTTTGGAATATATTGTTTGGGCCTCATGATGATACACAACTGTCTCATTCTACTTTTGTTTGTTAATCAAAGTGATTTGGACAACTTAATTATAAATGTCAGACACATGAAATTCCAGACAAGCTTGAAAACCAAGCTTGAATCTGAAAAGTATAAAGAAACAGTTTCAAAAGTATAGCTCTTCTACTGATGAAAAAAAAACTGAACAGTAGCTACTATCTTTTTTTTAGACTCTTAAATAGTTATGAGCCACTATCCCCTCAAAGAAGGCATGCATAAATTAATGTTCTATTGGGTGTTGACATTTAATTGCAAAGAAATATCCAGTACAAAAGCAAAGTCAACCACAATGCACATATTCTTCCTAGTAACTTTCAGTAATTACTGCCATCTTTTCTGACAGTTTTGAGTCTTTAATGGCTACATGGCAGGTAGAAATTGAAGATCTAGTCTTGCATATCTTTGATTTTTATTCTAAACTATTATATAGCAGTTAAAAGCTCAGGTCCTTGTTTTAAACATTTTAATCTAAGACCTGATCAATACAGCTTTGTTACACTTGTGGTTTCACTTTTCTTCCAAGGATTTCACACACACACTTTCCTCCATGTGAGCTTGGCTACATTGAGAGATATGATATTTTCAAAGCCTCATAGCTGAAATAGGATTTAAATACAGGTTTCTCCAAATGCAGACTTTCTGGGGACAGTAGCAGTAGCTAGTGCCTGTTAATAATATTTACCATTTATGCAACATTCTTCAGAGTTGCCAAAAAAGAACCCTTCATAGACATTATCACAGAAGCTTTTACAATCCTTCCTGAACTTACACATAAACACATTCATTAGGTTTCCCTAACGTCACTCCCCCTCCCCCCAAAAAATACAGATTAGTTAGATTTGATCCACCAACTTTGAAAGTTACACTTGGTTTCTTAAATGCTCTACTTCCTCTGGGTCCCTTTTGGTCAGTCAAATAGTTATGTAAACCTTAGAGTCAGTTCTACTATTTGGGAAGCAGCAAATCCAAATCCTTATGTTTCTCTCTCCAGGGAAAATTTCCAAAGCTAACTGTTCGGGAGTCTCATTATTTCATTAGAATATATCCTCTTTAATCCAATGTGTCTTATAGATAGCTATGTTTAATCGGTGATAATAAAAATACATTAAAGTACACCATTAGCCTCTCAACTGCACCACCAAAAGATAGAGTGATGTCCATATACTGTAACTGAATATCTTAGAAAAATTCATGATGGACAAAACAATCAATGGTTACTAGTCATGATAGCTATATAATGTCCTGTAATAGAAGCACTATTCCTCTGAATATCAATTAGTGGGAAACATGAGCCACTGTATTCAGGTCTTACTTGTTGATTTCTCATAAGCACTGGTTGGCCACTATGGGAACCCAATACTGGGCAAGATAGAAATTTAATCCAATCCAGCCTGGTTCTTCATATGGATGGTTTACAAATCACATCTCAAAACCAAACCCTAGTTTTAAGATAATAAAATATCTTCTATGTACACTTTATTCAAATGCATCAAAAATACCCTAAAATGTCTGGATAATGAGAATACAAATAATTGCATTTCATTTGCATTAACAAAAGGATAAATGTTGAAGTAAGCAACAGCTATTGTCAGGATGGACAACTAGTAAATGGGATCTGAATGTGGACTGACCTGGTGAGATATAAAGAAAAAGCACATGCTAAGAAGGGAAGCAAATTCCAGACTGCATCGCTTCTGCTGTGACTTCTGATGCTCATCAAACCAAGCATTTTTTTTTAGATTTTTTTTTATCCATCTTTATTATTTTTATAAATAACTCAAGGCGGTGAACATATCTAATACTCCTTCCTTCTCCTATTTTCCCCATAACAACCCTGTGAGGTGGATTGGGCTGAGAGAGAATGATCACTCCAAAGTCACCTAGTCGACTTTCATGCCTAAGGCAGAACTAGGACTCACAGTCTTCTGGTTTCTAGCCTGGTGCCTTAACCACTAGACCAAACTGGCTCTCTACATTTCTTTTGTTTCTACAATTTATGGTTCAACAACTGGTACAAAGCTCAGCTTTGGTTTTGATGTATAAATTAATCCTTTCACATTGTCCTAATTGTCTAGATAAAAGTAGCCAACAATGAATTTTATTTTAAAATCTTAACATAAGAAACTTGGGGCGACATCTCACTAACTTTCATTTTAGAGACAAAGTCATTAAAAATCATAGTAGATATAAAAGGCTTTGCTTCAGCCAAACAGAATGAGTCAGCACCACTTTCATTTTATTCACTGAGAAACCATTAAATGGATAGTTGATGCTCTCAATTCTACACTGTCCACACATTGCAGTGTGCTGAATATCTGGTGAACAAATACAGGACACAGTTAGAAAGGAAAGATTGATATCATCTATATAGAAATACCTACAAATATTAAAGGACATAGCCAATTAACTGAAGAACTCCCCCCCCCACTCACTTGGAAATGAGCAATGAAGGGAAATAAGAAATTTAACAAATTATAACTATAGTAATAATCAGAATTATACATTGTTTTAATGTAAAGTATATATATAATCTGTTCTTCAAGTTTTTAGTCCTACTTTTAAGTTGAAGGCATGAGGACATTTCTTGTTTAAGCAATGACAAACTTGTTCTATCAGCTTTAGAAGTCTGCAGTTCAAGGTGGATTGATTTTAATGGATTTGTATCAGACATTTGACAGCCAAAATGAGGAGAAAGGGGAAAGGTCCTATAAACCTACAAGGGAAGCAGGATTTTTGCTTGTATGGTTTGATTAAAAAGTTCTTGAAAAGCTTATGAGATTACAGTTTAGTCGATGAAGTCTAACTCATCTAGAAGTCATGGGGACATCCACATGAATACTAAATGGTTACGTAAAATTAATATTCATACATACAAAAAGGATTTTATAATGGCCAGATATCTAACATCTCTATTTTTAAAAAAATAAGCAAAAGCTGACAATAATAGAGATGACAGGAACAGAGAAGGCTGTGAATAAATAATTTATCCCATAAATAAGAGTCAACTTTATCTCATTTTTGGTTTGCTGTCTTTTCTATTTCTTTGACTCCCTTTAATTTCTCTTAGAAGGTTAACTCCCAGGAAGCTCTATTATAGAGAGAGCCCCAGCCTGCATTATCCTAAGTCTCCCAAAAAAGATTCAATTTGCAAAACACTATTGTAAAACAAGTAGCTCTATTTGTTTGGATTAGTCTTCATTGCAGCAGCACAAGACATCTTGGAAAGCTAGAATTACTTTTTGTAAAGATACTTACAGTGTAAGAGTTGGATTACCAGATATACAGAGGAGAGAAAACATCTCATCTGAACTACAGGGATAAACCCAAGAACAACAGGTGAGACCAAAATCTTCATCCTGAAACTCTGGTTTTCTACCCAAATGAATAGAGACAGCTAAAGATACGTGCTGACTGAGCCTTGAGTTGCAAACCTGTGCTCTTTTAAGGAGGGAATGGGAAAGGAATTAGGGGCAGTCTTGAAGGAGATTATAACAGCTGTATGCCTCTGATCAACACTGATCCTTGATTGTTGGTGACATCCTCTATTAAATTAAAGCTAGGGAAATAATGAACTGGTGACAGCATACAGATAACAAATACTTTCTGATCTAGCGTCCCAGCACAAGGAAGACAGTTGTATACATTTTCTAAAAGCAGTGAATATCCTGAACTTTGAAAGTGTAAGAGGAAAAGAAAAGATTGGCCTATTCATGGACAGAAATAAAAGATAAAATTCTTCTGAACAGGAATGGATAGTCAGAATATAACAGAAGAGTAGCTAGCAATCAGTACAGATCACTCAGCTGACAGAGAGCTTCAATTTCTAACAGGATTCTTTATTACATTTCCATTACTCATCCTTAAATGTTGACATTTGTTCCCCTGTAATGCCAAGAAAATATCTCCCGACTGAAATATGAGATGCTTTTACTTCTGTTTGCTTATCCCACACAAGATCACCCATATTTTTATCTTAGTAATCTCAGAAAGCCTTAGCCTACTACACAAAGATCAAGTTTTCTTTTTAAATTGGTATCTGTTGGTAAATGCAATTCAAGGCAGTACCAAGCAGGAAACTTTCTGCTTCGAAAAGGAAGCCTCGGGGAACCACTTCAGATGCAACAAATGCAAGATTGTAAAAAAGGAAGAAAAAGAAACTCTGCCAAAGGGAGACAAATACTACTACTGCTACTAGGACTAATAGTTGCATTCATCATCATCATCATCATCATTTCAGCACAGAGGGAAGGGAAATCTAGTTACATCTTGCTGGAAAGCAAATGGCAGGGAAGGATCTGATGCTTCCTGGGAGAGCGCCATCTCCCTGCCCTGTGCACTGTGGTCTGTTGCTTGATTGTTATGGCTACTCACACTGCTGTTGTGGCCCGACCAGTGCACCATGGCTTGGTTATGCGCCGAATCTCCAGTGAGAGCAAAGGTCGTGCTCGTCAATTTGAGTTCTTCCTGTCGGAAGCGCGTGGCTTTTGCCAGCAGCTGCTCTGGCGCTGCCCGTGCCCTGCTCTCCAGCTGCGCGTCTCTCTCAGCCGGAGCTCCTCTGGGCTTCCGACTCGGCCGCCTCCTCCGATCGTTCTGGTTATTTCTCCGCCGGCCCAGGAGCGCCGATCTGGCCACACGGCCGGCCTCCGAGTTGGCCCCCCGGCGCCCTCCGCTCCCCGCCGGAAAGCGAGCGGGAACCGAGGCTAACTTTTTGCGAGCGGGCCTGTTAACATCCGGAGGAGATAGTCTGGGGCGGATCGGGGAAAATTCTGGGAGCTCGCCGGTCACTTTGCTCGGTCCCATCCTACCCTTTGATCCCATCCCGACACGTTTCTCCCCAGCAGGAGCAGCCAAGACTGGACCCCCGGCAGCCGCCGCCTCCTGCCCGCGGTCCGCGGGCTTCTCACCTCTTTTATCCACAGGTACCTCTCCGGCCTCATCGCTTCCTCGTGCCGTCCTGAAGTTCATTGATAATCCTTGCGCTGGTTGCTGCGGCTGGAGTTGCACCTGCCAGCGGCACGATCGGCAAGTGATGTCTGCTCCGATAAAGCCAAAAGTAAGGATCAAAAGCCAGGTCCGGGCGGCGAGCAAAGCGAAATGCCACCCTTGGTACCAGCCAGTAACTTTTCCCATTGCCCAGGATACGGTTGGGGAAAGCAAAACAAACAACCCTGGTTTGCGTGCGAATGAGGAAAGGGGAAATGAACAAAATAGGACGCAAGTTGGAAAGGGATGGCTGCAGCTGCTTTTTTTTTAATTTTAATTTTTATTATTTTTTAATCTAGAGGAAGATGCCAATAACTCCACAGAAGTTTCCGACACTGCCGTATTTGAAGCAGAGAAAAAAGGGAAAAGCGGCGTTATTTTCTTTCTTTCTTTCTTTCTTTCTTTCTTTCTTTCTTTCTTTCTTTCTTTCTTTC